CAGTAATGTCGTGTTTGCTTTGGTTTCTAGGGTAACAACGAACTGCAAAGAGATAACTTAAACAGATGTGGACTGAGAAAAAGCCACTGATAAATCTACTTTCCCTGAATGTTTTGGTATCTTACCCCTGCAAAAGCCGCAATGTCTGCGCTAATAAGTAATGAAACTTTAATCTGTCCTGGTTTTTGACAGTAATTATGGCCATGTAAAAATTTGATAAAAAGAACACTTTTTACATCTTAAAGATTCAATGAAAAGGAAGGAAAATAATTTTTTAACGTCATTAAAACCGAACTAACGTCATCTTTCAATGCAACGTTTTTTGTTTTGGCAACTAACACAAAAACAGAAAATAAATTGACAGGCAAAAGGGCACTCACGCCTTATACCCACCTTGTTCTCATGTTCAAAAGCTATTTGTTTTCCTTTGACGGACATTAGAGGGAATTCATCTGAATTTTAAACTGACCACTAAAACCTTGAGATGCAGCACAGAGTCAAGAGAACAAAGGGACAGAAATTATATTCTTTTAAGTTTTGAAAAGGAAAGGGGGGGGAGGTTGGTTACACTTTGATCCAGAAAACTATTTGACAGGTCTGAATTAAGAGAGACAAATTAAAAAGATAATATTCCCTTTATAGTCAAATGATACAGAAAATTTTTAGAAAATTAAATGAACCTCACAGTTCCTAATCTCACTGGATCATGGGCAATCAAAAAAAACATTAATAGAGTAAACTACACCCCCCAAAAAAACACACATACCACTATTACTTGAATTTACTGAGTGTTGTCACAAGTGATATACTCTTAGGTTCAAGGTGTTAGGCTTGCTAGCATTTGACATGGCAGGCAGTCTGTCACCTTTCCTTCCGTGTCAATTACCATGGAAACATGTTCCAATATGATATCTGCATCACCTGCGAGCCATATCATTCCACACCTGTTACAGGAGGTGCAAAATATTTAAGGAATGCCCTGAGTTTGCTCAGAACTCTCGTATAGAGCCAGGGTCTCGTCACCTAGTTCCCATCTTGCCCTGTGTGGTACCTTACACTCATATAGTGCTTTTCTGGATGCTCCACTCAAAGTGCTTTAGAGGAGATGGGGAACCACCCCTCCACCACCACCAGTGGTAATGCGACGGCAGGCAGAGTGCAGCAGTACGCTCCCCACACACCAGCTCTCCGTGGGGAGGGGAACAGAGTTATGAAGCCAGTTCAGAGATTTGGGGGGCATGATTGGTAAAGGCCAGGGGGAAACTTGGCCAGAACTCCGGGGTAACATTCCTACTCTTTTCGAGAAACACCCTGGGATTTTTAAATGACCACAGAGTCAAGACCTCAATTTTAAGTCTCATCCGAAGGATGGCACCTTTTTTACAGTTTAGTGTCCCCTTCACTGTACTGGGGTGTTAGGACCCACACAGACCGCAGGGTGAGCACTGCCTACTGGACCCACTAACACCACTTCTACCAGCAACGTTACTTTTTCCCAGGAGGTCTCCCATCCAGGTACTGACCAGACTCACACCAGCTGACCTTCAGTGGGGCTGCCTGTTGTGAGTTGCAAGGTGATATGGCTGCTGACTACTAGTCTTGAGTTCTTTCATTCTCAAGATCCCTAGTTCCCTACTAAGCTCCTGTTTTGGACCCTTGACCCAAAACAACTTTGTCTCAACTTCCTTTGGAGCACCCTTGGTGCTCTATATTGTTTGGCCCAGCTTTGAACACTGCTACATTCCCGGCCCATACCCCTGGACTGTGTTTTGCCTGTTCCACATGCCCTGTTTTCCTGGTTCTTTGAGAAGTCTTGCTCAAAGTGTGGGTTCACCTTATGGAAAGAAACTGCTGCTTACTCCCCTGTGATTCATGGGACATGACATGAGGTTTACACTTTTTAATGTTTACAATCATTGCGGATTTGTATCTCCATCTTACAGGAAAACAAAGGCGTTATAGTATTTGGGCATGGGTTTGGGCACATTTTGAAGAAACTAAGAAGAAATTCCTACATACTGTAGTAACCGAATTTCTATAATCTGGTGTGATTTGTACCTAAATATAACAACCGCTGACTATGACTGAGCTTTGGAAAAAAAAACAGAGCTTTTAATGGGATTATGAAAAACATGCTTTGTTGTTATTCAGCTCCTTTTAGAGTTCATGTTGTTTCCAAACTGACACGAGCTTAGATTGGACCTTGCTTATTAACTGATTGTTACCAGGCAGTGTGACAAATATCATTGTTTAAACTAATTTTAACAAAATCCTCTGTGTTTTAGATTGCATGTGAACCCATTACAAACAAAGCCTATTGAAATCGTTATAGTACTGTAGTACCTGGATACATACATTTATAATGGAATCTGGTGACTGGGCTGTACTGTGTCCAAAACAGGTGAGGATGGTGCTCTGTGGGCAGAACAGGAGGGAGTCTTACAAATTCTTGGATTTCATTGCCGTCGAACAGTTTCTTAATCTACAGTATTTACTCACAGTGTTTCAGTTTAAGTTAAAATTATAATAAAAATGGCATTTTCTCGTCAAAGTCATACAGTGCTTTCCACAAATTAAGCTTCGCCATTTTTCACTGGGACATCACGTCTTTACTTTATTCACTTGAGAGCTTGGTAGTCATGACTGTGAAGACTCTGAGCTCAGGGTGAGCCCTAGATACCACTGGTTCAAGGCCTACTTAAGTCATTAGCAGTCTGTGGCTGGGATTATACAAGAGCTGATGCACAACTAGACAAGTGCTGCCAGTGGATGGGCATTAGTTGGCCTGTGCTTTCCAGATTTACTACACAATCAGTGCACAGTGTGGGGCACTGTGGATGTCACTGTGCGTCAAATGATGAATGGCTCCAGCAGGCATGCATGTCAGAAGACTGCATTCAGAGATCCTCATTCTCAGTCTCAGGGGTGATAACCAACTGCAATTCCAAATTGTGTGGGTAGAAAAAACACTGGCTCCAAACAGAAAAAAATAAAATAAGAAGAAACATCTAAGACAATTTATTTAATTAGAATTAAAGAGATGGTAATTAATTACACTGGAGAATCGACTGCAGTCGTTACCATGTCATCAATACATATATTTTTGGAATTGTACAAATTGCTTCTTAAGCTGTGGTGATTAAGTAATCAAATTGGATGCATTCCAACATTATTACCATTCCTTCCTTATATAGTATGATTTCAAACACCAGGTCTGTCTTCGTCTAGATCACAGTCAAAACCAGCAAAAACAATTCCAACAGCTGTAATGTAAAGAGCTCTTGTATAGTAAATAATGATATTTGGCATGCAGAGATGAAACAGCTGTGATGGAACACCAAGAACAAAACTGAGCACCCTCATACGCATCTGCATCTGTGGGAAGATGGGACAACTCCACTGTTTAGGGTGATCATTCTTAAAACTGCAGAGCTCTAAATAACTACAAAGTCTTTTAGCTGATGAAAAGTGTTGTGGAGATGTGAGAGAAGGAATGCTTTTCCTACAAAAAAAAACAGAAGTTCAAATGAGGCTGAGCGCTAGCACACTGATACTTTTACCAAGTGTTTCCGAAATGTCACTGCAGCTATTCTTGAAGCTCCTTGTAAATTAACAGAAGCATAACAGCTTTGTAAGTCTTTTCTGGACTCCTGCTGCCTTTTGTGTAAAAACTGCACCCACTCAGTCTGTTCTGAAACAGTCCTATTAATTTCCTCTAATGTCTCCCAGTCCTGGGCTCAAAAACGAAGAGATGACTTGGAGTTAACTTTAGACAGTTTAAAAGAGAGCAGTTTCCCAGTCTGCCAAGACTAGGCTATGAATGGGGTGGAGGGGCACTAATGATTAAACAGCAGCCATGAAAACATACACTAATCTACATTTGTCTGTGTATTTCATCAGCAGGGAATTCATTAATAACTTGCTCCCCCCCCCCCTTTCCTTTGTTTTTAAGTGCTTTTTCTTTTCTTCTCCATGTGGATAAAAAGATATTTTTTCATGCGCATCTCTCTTCCAGGTTTCAAGTGGTAGTTGTTATTCAGCTCACATTTGCCACTATGACCCTCGCCCCACATGGAAGGAAGATGGACCATGCACACTTGGCTCCAAAACACAGACTGCCAACCCGTGTGCCTTTTCTTTCCTCCCTTTTTACGGTTTCCCACAGATGCCTATAGCACAGCCAGCATCAACGTGTGAGAGCGGTACCACTCTTTCAACCGCAATTCAAATGCACAGGCGCCCTGCAAGCCAGAGAACACCATGCTCGCCTCAAGTCTACTGTAGCGCAACAGCAGGGGCTTGTCAAGAACCCCAACCGGCAACGTCTGGTCAGGGGGCTCGTGGTTAAATCCCAAAAAGATCCTTCAGAAGGTGAGATACCTTGAATCCACCCTTAATATTAATGTTCTGAAGTATGTACTATATAAATACAGGCCTTCCATTTGGAAAATTGAAACAGGCCCCGCTTTGCCAAATATTTTTCTTAAACTGGAGGACACATGGCACGTTTGCTTTTATTTTTTCAAGTAATCACGTAGATCTTATGTGTAAATTGTTAATTGCCAATCCCAGCCATTGGAAATAACAGGTAAGACACCACTACCTTCATGATAATCCACTTTCAGCTTACTTACCAAAAGCCTAAGCTGTTCTTGGTGCTCAAACAGGGGCTAGTCTGTAATTTGGTGAAAGTTCCGAATATTTTGGTGAGAGTATATTGGTGACACAAGGTGTAAGTTTTTTGGGTGAAGTTTGGAAGACCCATTCTACACAAACCTTTTGCAACAGTTTTTCACTGGAACAGAAAGGAAGTAACTCTGCTCACTTGGAGAAATGTCTTATCTCAAATATATGTATGCAATAATGCCCTTGCTTTATTTGTTACTCCAGTTAATCAAAGACCATTTTTATCCATTAAGGATGAAACCGGATAAATGAAAGAGTATCGGACAGCGTACAGTGAGGAAGAAAGCCAGTGAAACGCCCTTGTCAGAACTTACCTGCTCGACAAGTTGAGAAGTTCGTGCTTGTCAGACAGAGTTGACTTCTCCTCCAGCTCCCACATGAGGACATTGATGAGATGAGAATTCTTGATGACAATCGGCACTTCTTCAAACATACACTCAAACCCAACATTAGCTTTCTTTAGCCTGTGAGGGGGAAGGAAAGAAAAAGCAGTGGACTCGTTTCACATTCCTAGCAAGTAACTTGGCTTAATCCTTGACCTTAAAGAAAAGCAGGACGGAATTTTCTCACCGAAAGATTTGATATTATGTCTCTATCAAGGTAAGACAAAGCCCCTACCTATGATTTGACTCTGACTAATGTTTAGGCCTTTATTTTTATGGATTTGACCACAAGAAGTCAAGTAAATTAAAATATTTCAACACTGTTGAGGTTTAAGGACTTCCAAGAAAAACATTTTCTCCTTATAACTGGGTAAAAACATAATGCTGAATGCAGCTGTTGGGTTATATTTTTTGCACTGTCCTTTACATTTATTGTGTGAGGGAGTTTAAGAATAGGGATAGATGCCATGTTTTGTAAAAAAAAATGTTTAACTTCAGGCTGGTGAGCAGTAAGTAGAATACATTGTGAAACATCGGCCCATCTGCGCTCGTTTAATTCCCAACTCTAGTTAAAAACCGCTGTCGGGGGGGAGGACTATGCATTTCTCAAACCGTTCCATTATTAAACATCTAAATGCCACAGCAACGCAACGCAACGTAAAACTTTTAAAAAACCCAACAAAAGAAGAACACGATCTTACCTGTAGCCTACAATGAACTTTGGCCACAAACAAAAGAACAAAGGATAAAAAAAACAATGAAAAAGAAAAAAAAACTTTTCAATGAATTCATTTTGATTAGTTTTTTGGGACATGTCCCCTTGTGCTTGAATGGTAAAGCAGAGCTTATTAGAGCTGATCTTATTAAAGCAGTAAGTTACTGCTGCAGTGTCCCTGATGTAACTTCTTGTCATGTATCAGTCAGGAAAAAAAAAGCCTGCTGGGGCCCAGAGATTTATACTGGAATGCATGGAAAGGTGATTGGTGGAATGATCATCTTTAGTGCTAAATTTCATTGGACTGTATCTCACAAGGTTATTGCTGCTCTCCTATAATAACTCAGGATAACCTGAAGGCTTTCCCAAACGAACTATTCTTCAACTACTGGCATCTGTCTATGGGTTGCCTGTGTAAATGTGCAGGTGGGTTCAAATGCATTACTTCACAGCTCTGTGTGATCACTGAGTTTTCTGTGAGGGTCACGGCTAGTCAAGGCATGAACCTGTCTTGTGCAGAGCCGATGTAACAGCATATATGGGTTTTATAAATGTTGGAGGCGTGATAGTCAGTTTACCTCTAGAGTAAATTGTAGATTTGTAGATGACAATCAAAGTCAAACAACCGCAATGTGAAATGTTGCAAAGATTGTGCCTGTAGTGTCTAAACAATGTTTCGATCAGTGGTGGATGGCTTAGTTGGAAGGGTGCTTCCTTCTCAAAACACCATTTTCTCACATATTGGCTGGTGCTGGATGGAAGACTAGCAAAAATGGCAGGCAATCAAGTTTGCCAAACACGCAAATAATAACTAAGGGCTTTAGAAAACAACCCAGTGGGTGATTTTTAATTGTATCTCAGAAATAGAGCAATGGTGTGTTTCTCTGCTACAGACAGTATACAGATAACAGTAAGACAGATATAAGCACTGTACTGCATTGGAAAGGGGTGTGAGAACTAACAGTAAAAAAAAAAGTTGGAAATCTGTAACACCTTGCAAAATCAGCATGCAAGTAAAACTATTTTGTTGGGAACATGTACCAGTGCCAATTGCTAGGTCAGGAATTGGTTCTAAATGGCCATGAACTATGTGAAGTTAATAAGACATTTACGGTAATACTTGCTCTTATAGCCAGCTTTGTGGTTTCAATAAATGTGCCACTGTGTGAACTAAACTGGCTCCTACTGTTTCCACAGGAACGGCATGCAGATGCACCGTGTTTTTTGGATCGGCCTGTGCTATAGACAGCAAAACGATTCCCAAATGAGCTGTGCAGAAGAACCACACCTGTGGAGTGTGTATTTAACTGTGCCATCTGAACACAATAAGTGCTGATGCCAGATTCCCTTGTAATAATACAGTAAATATATACAATATATTAAAGTATTCAGCATGTCAGAAAAGGGGGGGCTTTAAGAACACAAAAAAACTTATAATCTATATTAAATTTCCAAAGAAAAGTACTATAGTATAAAAGATCGTCTCTGCCCTTGATGTAAGGTTCAATCAGCAATAAAAGGGATTTAAGTGTGAAGGCTCCACTTCTCATCTTTCTTTGATTAAATACACCAGCTTTTAATATTTCAGAATTACAGAACCTTTTTCTGTGGCTCAGTTTAACACTTGAAAAAAATGACTAAAGAAATACTGGTTCACATGGATGATTAATCAAATGCAGGCAAATGACAGCATCCAGCATCCACAGTTCTAACTAAATACTGGTGGTGTATTTTAGGGGTGTCAAATATGTTGTTAATTTTTATATCACACTTTCATGGCAGGGTTATAAGAGTGTTGTTTCTCTGGCTTACTGTGTTTTGTCATCTACAAGGTTGAGCCAATAATCTGTGTTCCCTTATACACATAAGAGGTAGCAGCATATCAATGAGATCAAAAGCCAAGAATGGTTTTATAACTGCAGGGCAAATGTCTGTCACCACTTCAAAAAAAGGACTGCTGGAGCAAGTATTACCTTTTCAGAGGCCAAGCCATCTGTGTTTTAATCAATTTCACAACAGCTCATTTTCATACTTGGCTTTAGAGCCTTTAATTGGCTGATTATAGCAATTAGCAAGTAATTACGTAGGTTTTATACAGTCTTTCAAAGTAAGCATATCTGTGTCATACTCATAGCACCACTTGAGATAACACCATCGCATAGAGCACAGCATTGAAACTACAAAGGTTTTAGAAATTAATTGGAAAGAAAAGAAAGAAAAGAAAATCCTTCAGGAGGGTTATGTGGCATTGTCAAACTGGAAGTATATTTTGTGCAACTTTTTTTTGCAATAATAAAATCTCATATTGGAGATGTCTTTGCATGCTTTCTCCATAGCTGGCATGACTGTTCCTGAACTGAATGTTCACATAATACTCTTTCCTCTAGACGTACGTGTGTACATATATATAAAACATTTGACTGTGTGCACAATGGTTAAATGACTGAATCCCTCCACCTATACTGATCCTTTCTGAAAACGGATCATGCGCTAGACCAGGTGTCTGCAACCCAGGTCCTGCATGTTTTATAGGTCCCTTTACAAAGTTAATGAGCAGAGATCTGGAAACCATGTTAACTGCTCCAAGTTAGGCAACTGATTGATCCAATTAAATCATACACAGCTGGCCTGGAATGAAAACCAGGAGGGCTTGATAATACTCAGAAGCAGAATTGCAGAACCCTGATTCTAGAAACACAGGGCATAATTTGACCACTATACTAACCTCTGTGATACAAATAATAGTGTTCCTTAGCACTAAAAATTAGTATGAAATATTAAAACAGTAGTTTAATAATTGTCTACGTATTTAATTTTTAGACTGTGTACTTTGCCTGGTTACGTACAGTACAAGCAGTATGCCAGTACAACAAGGTTGTCTCTTGAAGGAAGAAAGAGACTCAGGTTCTACAATTTGTCTGAGGTAGACATTGGGTAAGGGCAGCATGAGGTTTACCTTGACAGCAATGTCATAAATTGTAAACCCTGAGTAATCAGAGATAAGCTTAATTGATTATGTATACACTTGTAGCTCTATTCTGTTTTTTTTTCACTTTTAATCACTTGGAAAAAAAAACACCAGTATACCTATTTTAGCAAAGCCCAATAACTGGCCCCAGGACTGAAGCTTAAAAACTACTCCCATTAATAATGCTCAATGCTGCTGGCTTGCCAGGTAAAAATGAAATGTATTGAGTGTTTCTGAAAGTCAGTAGAAAGGGTATCATCACCTATATTCAAGATTTAGACACAGAGTTATTAATCATGTGCAAACACATTTTGTGACGCATCATTTTATGCATTACAGTGAGGTCAGTCATAGTTGATTTTCAAGCATCGTCATATTAATTATCTATTATATTATGATCTAAAATAGATAATTATCTAACAGGAGGTCACGTTTAGAAAAGTGGTCTTTCAGCATTGCTGTCAAAAACATTTTTTGGAACAATTTAGTAAAGCACCAAAACACATATTGAAAGGTTGTAGTCCTCTGTTCTTTGACCATCATAATTACACTATAATATAAACTAATCATGTCTTTTTCTCCAAGGCCTGTCTCCACTACATACATTGATTTTATCAATAAATGATCAAATTAATTCCCAGGGACATTGTTCCATACATACCCTTCAGGAGAGAAGTCCTTCTCCTTGCAAATTTCCATTAATTTGGGAGTGAGTCTGTACGCCTTCAGAGACAGGGAGCCCTGGGCCGTCTTGATGGGATCTGTGTGTTGACAAAGATGGAAGATGTGAGATAGTTCTGGCAATAACGATTCTAAGGGAGAAAGCGCCATCTCAGTGGTGATAAAGCCATCACCTCGCATGGTATGGGTCCCTTGTTGATCATTGCTAAGTGTCACACTGTCGTGCCATTATCTTCTTGGATAGGCCCATTTAACAGAGTGGAACATTTTCTCTATTGGGAGGTAAATCTGGCAGGAGACACACTGCCTTAGTTGAATTGCACAGCCTGTTAGCACACATGGTACCAGCCTATGGAAAAGTAATCTGCAATCAATGCTTAGCAGTGGGGAAAAAAAGCTTATTAGCGCTACTCTGTGATAAAAATAAATGAATCTCAGAACCTTACCAGGAGTCTAAAAGATACAGCTTTTGCTTTACTACATAAAATAAATAAGACTTGTAATGCATTATAAAAATCAGGTAAACTATAGGATTTTCATTACTTTTGATTCAAGGTTTTAATTTTACTTTAACTCAGGCTGGAGAGTGAATGTCTTGCTGGCAAAGCAGTGTCAGTCTGGGGAGGCCAAAATTAGACTTAACAGTCATATGAACAGCATGCTGGCAGAAATGTGGTGGTCCTAACACAAGGATAGCCAAGAACGCTGTTGAGCCTCCATTCTGGCAGAGCCCAGTTATTTTTTTTAAATGAGGGATGAAAACACATGAACAAATCAAAATATAAAACTCCCTGAAGTTTTGGAGTCGGGAACCCCGGTTCTAAATGTTTGCCATGAATGAACAAAGAGAATGGAAGGAAACAACGAAGGCAGACGGAAGTCAAAAAGTGACACGACCCACATAAAATATAGGAAAGTTTCAACACGACTGCCGCACAATGAAAAAAATGTATTAACTCCAATCCTTCTGAATGTTTCACAAAGCAAACAAAGGAAAAGGTCAGGGTGGGACTTAAAAACTTGGTATATGTGGTGCCAGAGTGAAGGATTCTCAGAGGCAGTGACGGACTGACCAACCAACCGAGAGCCGCAAAAACTATGAGGTGATCAGTGTGAGCGCTGTTTGTTTGGTCAAATGGTGCCACCTGTGGTCATCAAAGAGCCTACAGGCATGAGCAGCATCTGAAAAAGCTGATGGAGCTCAACTCCGTTCTTAGAATAAAAAGAAATGGCTGGCATGATATTACTCAGTCTTGGGGAAACCATGTTCCTTCAGTTTCTTTATGCTGGCACACGACACGGAGCAGCAGGGACATTGGTTGAATAACTGTACTTTTTAAATTGAAGTGTAAATGGGGAAAGGGATCAGCAGATTAAAGTTTAAGGAATACACAAAGCTCCTCGGCACACAGCATCAAAACCACAACTGAATCCGCTTTTCACTAAAAATTGCAGACCTTTCTTCTCCAAAGTAATTTCTGAGAAATACTGTGTGACACAGTGCTTTTAAAGAACGAGATTAACTTATCTCATATGCAACACAACAGCAAAACTAAACAGAAAACAAATAGCCCACACAAGTGAATCACTCTAAAATTCCAATTTTCTGAAATGACCCCCTATGTTTCAAGCTTCACAGTTTTAAAGCTGAAAGTCCTCTTTGGCAGATACAGAAAATGCTGGCATTCCTTTAACAAGGGTGTCTTGTGAAGAAAAAGCACCATTTGACCTCAGACAGATTGTTAAGGTCCTCTATCTCAACTAAACTCTGCCATAATGCTGGTATTTATGGTCCTGCAGTAAGGCTAACAGTGCTGTAAAAAGTAACTTCCCCATGATGTATACAGCAAAAGATCGTTTTAAAGGGGGGAAATACACAGCCACCTCTCAACTGACAATATAGCAACCTACCACAGAACATTTTCTTTTTGGAGAAATTATGTGGGACTTCTAAAACATTTCCCTCTTTAATATCCGGTGCAGTTTCTGCCAGTTTAAACAGTCTTTCCTTAACTGCCATGACTACTAGCACTGCAAATCACAGGTGCTTTGTCTATTACTGTGGCTGTATACAATACAGAATTATTTCCTACAAGGGTTTTCTTGTAAGAGAACATAGGTGTCACCAAAGTAAGATTAGATCCAATGACTTTTTCTCCACCCCATTCTTAAAGACTGTAAAGTTGTTCAAGATTCAACATTTTAATCCATATTTCTCTGGCAAAAGAACCAACTATTTCATTCCTTAACACAGGCAGAAATATTAAGTCAATTACTTTCAGAGCTTATCTTGCCGACCATAAAAGTCCAGGCAACTTCTTATGACAGCAGTGTAGCAAGACTACAGAATGTAACTCAAGGGGAAATATTGCAGCCAACATGAACTGCAGATATATAAGCACAAGTATGCAAGAGCCAACATGCTGTTTAACCTAATCAAATAATTTCTCATTCCAGGCCTTTTGGTCGATACCTTGAGCTTACAATTTGTCTTATAAAACTTTTAAATCACATCCTTGTTTATGGCTTGTTTGTGTTAGACATGATATAAATGCTAATGCAGCTCCTGATAACCAAAGTCTTATAGAAAATGCAGAGAGAAGTATCAAGGTTGTTGAAAAATGCATCTAGGAGTTTTCACAAATGAAGGTTTTTTTAAGTAGCTGTTTTCTGAAGAGACTTGTACTCATTCATTCAGTTGTCAGTAACCATGCATTTTCTAGCTATAAGGCTTCACTAATTTTTTTATTAAAGCGTGCTACCAGAACATATTCCTAAAACATATTGGTTTTAAAATGTGATCTTGTAATTTTAAATAATATACTAGAAATCTCAACTTATGCATTGAGGGTTTAATGTTTAAGCAGCATATTTCAACAGATAAAGAAAACTATCCTATATATACACACTTCTATTCAAAACAGACCTGAAAAGGAGGTCACTATCACACAGCAGTACATCCACACACATTGAAACATACCTTCTGCTTTTTAGACTGAATAACTTTTGTTCATATAGGCTCCAAGGGAGTTACTAGTAATTCAGAACTGTGACAAAATTTGGGCTCATTATCAAATCAAAACAGGCAGGTGTTCCCTTATGCAATGGCTGGGTGTGATTGTGGGTGGCAGGTTGTGCCTGCCCTCCAAATAATAGAATGGAACATCCTATTTTCATAATCTCAGAAATGACAAACTATTTAATTGGCATTTTCTGCAAGGGAATGGCGTTAGGACTCCTCACATCCATAGGATGGGTAACTGGCATGTCTACCAGCTTGCAGCTACACACTTTAGGTTTTACACAATTTTCCCCATCAGTGAACGTCGTGCAATACGGAAGACAGGGGGCCTCTGAGTACTTGCCAACAAAACGTATTCCAATGTTTGCATTTAGGAACACTCGGTAGGTGGAAAAAAAAAGGAAACAAAAGGATTAGAAAACAACATTAAACCCTGGGACGATGCAAATTCATTTGGCTTTAGTGATGCAAAGTTTTCCAGTCATTGTGAAGTGGGCTTTAACAAGTCATTCTGGAGAGGAACCCAATTGTTAACATGCTGAAACAATTTCAGGGGGCAGTTCTTTGAGATTGATCATATTCATTAAGATCTTTCTTGACAGATACCCGGGGATGTTATATTCACTTCGCAGCTGGGAGCCCTGGAAGATCCTGCCAGATACGACAAGCTGAGGACCGGTTTTATTATTATTTTTCTTTTTGCACAAAAAAAAGAGAGAGAGAGGGGTCTGTGCAATAAAACCGCTAAATTACCTACAGCTCTGATGTAGCGCAGAACATCTGGGCTGGGAAACGCACAGGAAACTTACTTAAAGATGCAGTTTGAAAGGGGGAAAGGTGGGGGGAGGCTGCTAAAAACAGTCAAGGTTTTGTTAGCCTCTAGCAGCCCCCCTTCTTTCCTCTAATCACAGACAGTTTATAAATGGAGGTAGTGGCGGTAAAGGGGAGGAGAGGGGGGACGGCTGAAAAAAAAAGGCAGAACGTGTCAGAACTGCTTGGTCACGTACTGAGCCAGACTCCAGCAATCGGTTTTTGTTAGACATCTGGTCTGGGGCCATAAGCCATCAGTGAAAGGAGAGAGGGGAGAGGAAAGGAGGGTGGGGGTGACTGGTTGGAAGGAGGAATAAAAATGAAGCAGCTACTCAGGCATTCCAAAATGTACACATCAGGGCTCTGATAGCAAGAAAAATAAACAGAAAGAAGGAAACCCTGTCTAGACTGAGCCGCTGTTGGGGCTGCTGCAGACACTGGGCTGGTATTTATTTGGTGGGGCTTGCCAAAGCTACCCTTAGAGGTAGGCCTGTCGAAGTCAGTGTAAAAGAAGGAGGGGGAGACCGCGGGAGGGGGGGGAGGGCATATAAATGAAAAAGAAATTGGCGGGCAGAGTTACCGTAAATGAGGACCACAGACTCCTCGATGGCATGCTGGTAGCTGAACTGGGAATCCAAAAGGGCACGGCTTACAAAAGAGCCGTAATAGGTGGACTGGTACCAGCCGACGTGGAGATGGTCGATGTTGACGTGCCGCAGGCTTCGCATCATCTCCATCTGGTACTGAACTGCAGGAAACCAAGCAAAGGAAGAGTTTAGCTTCAGTTGCCAGTCCATTCGGAAACAAACACGCCCTTTCAGTAACGGTGAATCACTGGAAGGAAATAAAAAGCCCTATTTTTATTTACTGTAATATTTGACGTTTAAACCTGCCGGGCATCTACCAAAATTATAAGTGATTTGTGGGGACGGGGACCCATTGACTTCACAATATATTTTCAAAAACAAAACAGGTCTATAGCAATTTTTCTGTTTTTTTTTCCTTGATTAAAAAAAAAAGATGCCCGAAAAAGCCTTCAAGCAACCTAAAAAGATTTGACAAATTTATTTGTTGTACTCTGACAGCTGTAAATCAGAACCTTCTGCTGCCCACTGGAAACCAAGCTTGAGGCCACACATCTGACAATAGTCACCTACATCTAAACTCAGTTAAGGTCTTGTCACGAGATTCTTTTAGTGTTACAACAACATGAAAGTGAAAATACATCAATACAGAATATTACATACTTATGGCTCAACTCTTCTGGGGTGTGCTATACAGTTCTGAATGCCACCCAAAAAAACATTTAAAAATACTGAATTACAGTCAAGAAAACATTTTTACACTATACTCCAGAATACTGTACTGAATAATTTAAGAAGTGAGCTTATGTGATCTGCTTTGATCCTTTATTTCATCCCTTGACTTTCAACATGGCTTTGACTTTCATCGCTACCAAATGTGTGTGGTCTCAGGTATTCTCTGTTCCCATTTCAGCTAAGACAGTTGTTTTCTGATGCTCAAAACACTTGAGAAAATGAATCTGGCTGCAGAGGACTCATTTCAGTTTCTTTTTATGCAGGGATTTAGACCTCTGTGTCTAATTTTTCCATCACACTTCTTCAAAATCTTCCAGGAGAATTTTCTAGATTTGCCAAAATAACCCCAGAGAATCAAGAGAAACTAATATTGTTTATATTTTTCTAAGCATGCTATTATTGGTATTTTCATTTCAAAGAGGTCTATAGTATAATAACCACCAAAATGCCACTAAAAAGTCTTAAGGCACAAAAATATTACAAAGACCAAACACATGCCTTGTACCCTGTATTGTCAGAAATTTCCTGGAGCAGATCTGGGTGGTACTCACTCTCACAGTTTACTCTTACACTCAACTCTCTCTATGAGTGAGAGTTCATCTGTCAAATGACTGTTACAATGTATGGTGATTTTTGTCTGCAATTTGGAACCTTGCTGTCTTGCAGATATTTATTTCCATGCCTGTTTGATGAGGAAAATAAGATGCAAAAATTCTTAAATGCAAAACTAAATGCTTAATTCAAAATAATGCTTAAGGCATAATGTAATGATGCAGTAGCACTCACTGCAATATGGCTTTCATTCATTTTGAATTATATTAACAGGAATGACACACTTATTTAAAGGTTCCATTGTTTCCTGAACTGTTTTGAAGAAACACCTTGCCTTGTATATAAAACATAAGAAAAGATGCTAACAATATGGGGTCATTCATCTCACCTTGCTCATCTAGTAGTTTAGCAGCTAAGGTAAACTAAAATTGTGTCTAGACTCTTATTAAAGCTGCCCAGAGTCTGGGCCTTAAACGCCTGTATGGAAAGCCTGTTCCAGATACTCATAACTCTTTGTTTAAAGAAATGTTTTCTGTTCTCCATCCTAAATGAATTTAAAATAGTCCCTTGGGTTAACCCTATCTGTAGGGTATGTACTTGTGCTAAAAAAACTAGTTGCTCACAATTCATAAATATATAGTAGTCTTCAGTTCAGATAAACAACTTTCAATAAAGGCAAACTGTGGAAAAACAAAGATAAACAAAGCAATGCTGTATATACATGATAAATCAAAACTTTTTTAATAATAAGGTTTGTTAGTGGACTATTTAAAATATTCCTTCAAGCCATTTAAAGTAACATTTTGTAAAAACGCATATCACCTGAAAAAAATACTGGAATAGTTTTTGGTGTAGACAAAAATAATTCCATAATTTAACTTTTAGCATAATAAGCACAGGCCCAATCTTTCTGTCTGTACAGTCAAAATGCAAGAAAATCAGCAGCACTAAAATTACAAAATAATTACCTGAACTGTAATGTGAAAAATTCACAAATACAAAACACTGAGAAAGACAAGAGGTAGTTTAATTTTTGCTTCAGGAATTCCCATTCAAAAAAGATTATCATGAGGGAGAGAAAAGCTGAATAATGACAGACTAGAGACTTTCCACAGCCTGTGTGTCAAAGTTTCCATGCTCCATAGAACTCAGTTAGACTACAGCTTAACTCAGTCAAGTACAATGGGCAAAATTAAAGGATCAACAGCACTATATTCCAAGTGGCTTGACACTGTCAAGAGATGAGCTTCAATGAATGTACACAGATTGTGTTTAAAATGTAGTTACTCCAGACTGAAATTTATGCCTTATTTACACTTGGTATAGAAAAAAAAAACATTGTTTCAGACAGAAAAATTTATACTGATTTCCACATTTCAGTAGGAAGGAGAAAAGCCTTACGTTGGCACATGAGCTTTGCAGGACATCTAGAAACTATTCCATGTAAAAAACTAATTACATAAAAAGAACAAGATTCTGAGTTATTTTGTATACCCTGAGTGAATTTTAACTTACAATTCAGACAAAAAGTTGACAGTTGCTAGAAAGCCAGAACAGACCAAACCCATCTTGTCGTCTGTTATTTTCCCAATACATGCAAATCACATTCACTGAAAATGAAGAAATGGCATAACTGAAAAGGCTGTTTTTTACATTCCTTTCCTGATCCAAAAGCATACACATTTCACAAACCA